CATTTTAATGCAACAGGAAACTACGTATACATTACAAAGTGCTCAAAATGTAATTGGCCACTGTGGTCATTAATACACTCACTCGTAATCGAATTTATGCACAATAGGCAGACGTTTCAAACCGTGATCCTACTTCAGAGCAGAGACAACGAGAAATGAAATTATCAGGAGCTTATGACTTCGAGAGAGAGAGATAACTTTTTGCAATGTGACGTCTCAAAGAGTGTTTTTAGATTGTGAATGTACGGACGCACGTGATGAACGGTGTGCAAAGGAAGCGTGGGAAAGATGCGTGCTTGGAATTACGTTGAGAAAGAGAGGAGGAGGCAGGTGAAAGACATCACTCTGAGCATGAAGGAAACGAAGTGGCCACTGAGTAGGACACATCGCTAACCACAGACAATGATCAATGGTGAAGAAAAATGATGAGTGGCAGCCAAAGCTCGTGAGAGATGGGGACGGCTTGTGGATGGACCCTCATCCAGCAGTAGATTGGTCATGGCTGATGATGATGGATACGAAATGGTAGTTGTAAATTCCATTAATTCTGGAAAAAAATCTGTTTTAATCGCAAAGGAAAGTTTCAAGATACTGTTACCTTTAGACGAATTCCATAAAAAAAATTGTTTGAAAAAGTGTCGCATGAAATGTTATCGCCAGATGATTTTGCCAAAAAAGATTATAATAAGATATCTGCCATGGAACAACTCCAAAAGCAGAATACACATACTCAAATTAGATTGGAATTTTATTACGTCCCATCAGGATCGTAACCAAATGTATATTTTATTTAAAGCGGCATCACCACAAACAAATGTAAGGGATCAGGAGATGAATACACAGGCTGCGTCTTTAAATGGGATTTTGTCCCGACTCCAAAATGTCAAAGTGCCAAACACTCGTTAACGGTATTGGCCAAACAATCTCAAACATCCCAATAGAGACTCAGCGAGGCTTTCCTGGGTGTAAACAAAGGACATCATTACCATCGATGTAAACACACACGCGCGCAATTCCAAGAAGTATACAGTATTGCCACGATCTATATTGTTTTGCATGTCCAAAAACAAAAATAATAAAGACGCGTTAGAGGACTTTTAAATTAACACACACACATACACACACGTTCTGTAACATGTGGATGCACAGGTGCGGTCCTGCAATTGCTTGACTAACGCCACTGCTAGGACACGAGATAGACCCCCTCCTCCATAAAGACATCTTTGAAAAGAAACAGTGGGAGTGCCCACAATTTACCGCACCGCCAGCGACCTGCACATGAACCTGTACACATTTGAACTGCTGGATGGAAAGTGGTTTGGTGGAGTGGGGGGAGTGGGGGAAGCGTGATGGGGGGGGGGGGGGTTGATTTTCGAACTGTAGGTAGATTCGAACCGGCTCGTCATTATTTGGCGGCAGCAGAAATTCCGCACTTGAGCGGGCGAGTGTGTGTGTCGGGGAATTAACGCGGTGGCTGCTGCTGCTGCTGCCGGATGCTGCTGACGCGCGTGCATTTGTGACCCGTGGGGATGATCGATGGAGCTTTTATCGTGCGTGTTTAACCCGAGTATATCCCCACGTGTCCTCGGGCTCACATTGAGAAATTATTCTCCGCGACGCACAATGTACAGTGGTGTGTGTGTGTGTGTATCCCGTGTCGCAATTATGTCCCCAAGACCAGGAGATATTGTTGGCGGTTTTTTTTTTTTGGCTCATGCGATGTTCACCGGGTTCAGTTTGCTAAAAAAAATAAACCACAACAACAACAACAACAAAAAGGGGCACGTGGCCGAGAAATTGTGTTCAGCCCGTGCTCTGGGGATAGTTCCACGTGAAATTGGATTGTGTCGATCATAGCTCGTCATGTTGTGTACAAAGTCTGAATCCATTGCACATACAGTCTATATAAAGTGTTAATTTACTCTGAAAAGCCTGCATACACCGTCTAAATAATATATACACGCTATAAATACTCTACTTGCACAATATATATGTGTGTGTGTATATACAGTCTATTAAATGCGCATACAGAGTCTATATAAACTGTGGATACACAATCGATATGAAGTGTACATGTAATCTACATAAAGTATACATACACATGATATCTAATTGTGCATGCAAGTATAAAAACCAAGATAAACCAAATGCAAAGTGTCCATGCACGTACACAAACATTTGTATACCGAATGCATTCGCAACCTAGACGAAGGGCACACACGTGGCAAAATACAAACATATATAAATCCTGCACACAAAACACCGATACATATCCCACGGCAGAGTGGAAAGGATACATCGCCTGGAGAAGTGATGATAGACGCCTGACACAATGCCTCTCCACTCATGCCCGCCCACCGACGGTACACAGCATGCACGTGTGTACTTACGCAATGGGCACATGAGCAGCGCAACAGAGTGTGTAATATTGTATAGTGTCAACTTTGCTATATGCGCGTTTTATGACACGGTTAGGTTCATTCGCCGTGGTGTATGCTGACACACTGTTAATGTATGTGGTGTTATGTTAACAGGAGTGCGGTTTGGAACATATATCTATAAACACATGTTTGGGATTATTAATAAACTGGAATTTTGAATAAACTATTAGTTTCCGTTAAACTAGTCTCGGGAATATCGTGTGTTTTAACAAAGCGTGCACGTGTTAGATCGCAGTGTTGCGAGAGATGACGACATTTTGGGGAAGGCGTTCATTCAGCAGTTGTTAGAACATGACACGATGATGGTGATGACGATGGTATTGTTACCGTACGTGTATACGTCTATGATGTAGCCACACGTCATCAGGGATCTCATCTACTTACCACTGCGTATAGTATGAACACAACGTATGTATTGGAATTCATCAACACAATACTTGTGTTTCATAATAATTACGATTGTTTAATGGCGCTTTATACGTGTAAATTGTTAGATATTTTAATAATATTTACTTAATATTATTTATTTTGGTGTATGTGTGATATGGGCGGGGAGCAGTGGAGTCGTGATTTAGCGCGCCGCGCTACGAAGCTGACTAACACCGGGTCGTGGGCCTCCTATAGGTCGACTCAGCCTTAAGTGAGTACATGGTGCGGTGTTGTACATCATCGGCACTGGGAAGACAAAGGCGGCCGGGTGTGGTGCCGGCCACATCGTGTGCTGAGTCGCTAATCGCACTCGCCCCAACAGTCTGTTAACGGCTATACGCGAAGCCTCTGTATGTATGGATGTCACCTCGGTGTACTAAATCAAATATACTATACCGTACCCTCATATGCACGTGTACGCGTATGTCTTTCATTCATACACACATTAATACCAAGACACATTCATAAATACATCTCGAATGCATTGTATACTCCCTTAATACACATATACCTCTGATAATACAAATAGTTATATATGTATCACCGATACTTAGATATATTAGATATACAGTATACTGTTGAATACTTCCCATAGCTTCATAGATACGTACATTAATTGCAGTTACTAAGATATTTACACGAAACATACACATCACACACATCTACATCCCATCTCAAATGCGTACAACACTGCTCGGTTCAGATACACACAACAATAGATACACACAACAATACGCACGCATCTAAGATACGTTACTTAAAATATGCACCTCAAAATACATATAGCAATTCCATTACACCGTATAAGTATACCCATCCCAGACATATACAGATCACAAATCGATATATGCATGCATATATATAGGATATTCACACCGTCTATCAGACACACATAGACATTACTGCTCGCTCAAATGTGCTGATTATAATTCTCAACGCGATATACGTTAATGATCCAAACGCAGCGCCACCACGATTGATTGCTATAACCACAGCTACAGTATACATTATATACTGTCCATACCACATATCCAAAGCGCTGAATCAGCAATGAATACTCACAACACCCTTCACAATCATCATCGTCATGATGGAGAGTCTGTAAAATGTTGTGCAAAACACGCGCATGATTCCGCTGCTGCTGCTGATGATGATGATGTCGGTGATGATGATGATGTCGGTCATGATTCCACTCCACACGCATATGACGAACTTATTGTGATCAAGGATTCTGACCTCTCCTCCCCCACAACGCCACCCCGAGTCGAAACGCCGTACCGAAGTGACAATCTTTCATGTTTACCATACATTGGGCGTGTGCATCGCGTAATGACTCCGCGATTATTTGATGGGGCCCTAAAAAAATAAAAACAATTTCTCGCCAGTAAGTTCGGGCCAATGTAGCAGCGTTTGTGTCATATACAACGACGAGCAGACCCCGAAGGTCGAAACGAGTCCAGAGTTCGCCTGCTTGTTGAAACAAATGCGGCTCGGTAATATTGGCCTGGAAAGCCGATTGATGGACTCAAAAACAAAAAAAGTTAAACAATAAAACAAATATATACTCTTTATTTACGTGTTGAGACAAGACGTAGTTTTGCTTATAAACGCTTAGGAAAGTGATTGGTAATTGAGGGCAGGAGCGTGAAATGTCGTCGTTGTATAAACGCTCGTTCATGGACATTTTCAAAATGCAGTCCGCGGTTCGCCCCCTCTGTTTTTAGCAATCTCCGCTCGAATATTAAAATAATTGAGGTCGTTACACGCTGCACGCGCACGATGATTGGTGAACACGTCCAGCGCATCTCCATATGCATCAGCCCCCCCTCCCTCCCCTCTCCTAAACCTGAAACGGCAAAAATTAAAATTTGCGAAAATAAATAAAATTGTAAAGTGTCATTTTAATCCATTAGCCCATTAACCTTCCAGACGAACAGTGCAATGTTATACAATTGCGTTTGTTCTAAGTAGGTAAAACTCTGGGCGCATGTCACCCCCTTGTGAGTCACGTCGGCAGAGTCATACCCGTCAAACAATTGCTGCTGCTTGAGCATCGGCTACGATGCTGCGGGTATCGAAACGTTGGACGAGACAACTGCTACTCGGCGCTCGCTCACTCGCACGACTCACCTGCCCTCTCCCCTCCGCACTCCACGTCGCTCTTCGAGTCTCTCTCCTCCGCGCTCCCTTCGGAGTTATGATCACCTCCACCCGCTCCTCGCGTGCCGCCAACACCACCAGCACCAGGAGTCTCCTGCTGCTGGTGCTGAGCCTGAGGAGTCTGAGAAGCTCCGACGCCAATTGCGGCGTAGAGATCGCCCGCAATGGGACGGTAGCCGCCCTCGGGCAAGAGGCGGCTGGGGCTCTCGCTCGCCTGCTGCCGTCTGAGCGCCACCTGCGCCGCCATCACTCGCTGACGCTCCACGATGAGGATGCATTTGTCGCATGCGCAGTCCTTGAAGCGGCAGTAGCGTTTGTGGCCCTTCAGCCACGACAGGACGCCGTGGTTGCGACACCGAGCGCACTTGGGTGTGCGCTGCAGGGGCGGGCGCTGTGCCGAGCCCGACGGAGGCGGCTGCTGCTGCTGCTGCGGATGCTGCCCTCCGCCGTGCGTCGGGTGGCCGTGCTGCTGCTGCTGCTGGTGATGGTGGTGGTGGCCGTGGTGGTGGCCGTGGTGGTGATGGTGCGAGCCGCTGGCCGCCGCGGGCACGTACACATAGGGAGCGCCGTACGCGTTCATCATGGCTCACACGGGGTGGTTCGGCCACGGCGATCGCCTCGATCCGCGCCCCCGTAGCCGCAGCAGCAGACTGCTATGCAGAGGACGCGTGTGTCGCCCTCCGTCCGTGCGGCGGAACGCGTCCCTCCTTCCTCCCCCCTCTTTCTTCCCTTCTCGTCCTGGCCCGCCAACCCCACCAGATGCGTTGTGTTTTGTTCGCGTTGTCTGAATCGTTGCCTTCGCACCGGTCTCGCCTCTCGGAGCGCGGTTTCACCTCGCCCGGACCGGAGGAGCGCCGCTCACAACCGCGCCTCGCTTCGCCCCGCTGTCATGTAGGAGTGCGATGGGTCTCGCTTGGCAGGTGGGGTTTGAGATGGGGGGAAACGAGACGGTGGGGGTGGGTTGGTGGGTGGGTGGGAGGGAGGGAGGTAGGGTTGCTGGGTGGGTAGGTTGCTGGGTGGGTGGGTTGCTGAGTGGGTGGGTGGGTGGTTGCGCCGTCGTGAGGTGGCACAATCACTGCGGGTTTCACGCACAGTCCGCTGGTGCCACGCAAGCGCATGCGCTCACCGGCACGCACACTCGCTCACTCCCCTCGATGATGGCCAATGTTATTGCGAGCCACTTGGCTAAAGCAAGAGACGTCTTGCCCCCCCTCACCCCTCCCCTCGCTCCCACCCACTTTTCTTTGTTTTGCTACGGTCGTTTTTTTTGTTGTTGTAAAGTCCAAGTGACCTGAACATTCGCACTTTTCGCTCCGTGGTTAACAGAGGAAATTGTCCTCGCGGCTCAAAACACAGAAGCGAACGAATCTAAGACGTGTAAACGATATAACGGCGTTCTTTCACGCGGGCGTGTGAGTGTAACTGCCCGAGTGTGAGTGTGACTGCCTGAGTGTGACTTCGTGAGTGTGAGTGTGACTGCCTGAGTGTGAGTGTGACTACGTGAGTGAGTGTGACTGCCTGAGTGTGACTGCCTGAGTGTAACTGCCTGAGTGTGAGTGTGGCTGCCTGAGTGTGACTACGTGAGTGTGACTGCCCGAGTGTGAGTGTGACTGCCTGAGTGTGACTACGTGAGTGTGAGTGTGACTGCCCGAGTGTGAGTGTGACTGCCTGAGTGTGAGTGTGACTACGTGAGTGTGACTACGTGAGTGTGACTGCGTGAGTGTGACTGCCTGAGTGTGACTGCCCGAGTGTGACTACGTGAGTGTGAGTGTGACTGCCTGAGTGTGACTTCGTGAGTGTGACTGCCTGAGTGTGAGTGTGACTGCCTGAGTGTGACTTCGTGAGTGCGCGAGTGTGAAGCGCTCTGCTCGGAGCGCGTGATATTTGTCCGCCGAATTCACTCATCATTAAATAGAATTCGCATGGACACTGTCTTTTGGGGTTCTGGGTTTTAAAATCTTGCTTGATTGTTCGTTCGTTCAAAATATTCATGAAGACAACGCTGTGGTTCGCATCCCCCCCCCACACACACACAAACGCGCTCGACGTGTTAATTATAACAGTGTCGCGAGAGAGCGAGTGAGGTTTATTTATTGAGAGCGAGAGAGACGCGCGTATAGACAAAGGAGGTTGGTTCTGCGTGCAATGAAGTGCTGCTGCTCCAAACACCACGTTACTGGATCCGCGTGTTGCTATGGAATTGTAGGTAGCAATTATAGCAAACGGTCGAACGCAATGTGTTTCATCATAAATACCTGAGTGTGAGCGAGCGTGAGGTGATGGTGAGCGTGAAGCGGTGAGTTTGTTGTTGTTGCGCTATCTGTATTATAGCATATAACCGTGTAAACACAGGTACACGTGTGCGAGAGCGATCACTCACGCGCACGAAAACACCGCGTACTGTATGCGATACCCACGGGAAGTGTGTGTTAAACACAAGGCCGCCTGTCAAGTGAGTAGTGTCTGTTGGCTGGAACGCTCCGTCAAGACTGAAAATTCGAAGTTGTGTATTTGCATGTGTGACAAAGGCGGCCGGGCGTGGTGCTGGTCACCCCCCCCCCTCGTGTGCGCGTGTCGGCCTTCATAGGTGCTCGCTAACACCACTTGCCCCTAATGCTATACGGGGGATGTTTGCGTTTGTACTCTGTGAAAACGACATTTGGATACACCTTTTGACGAGTGACTTCGAATTGGCACAATTTAATGAAGGTTATGTGATGTTTGTACGACAGCACGCCGCACCTGTATTTATATAATTGTGTAAAGGGTATTAGGAGTAGTAATGTTGGTCTCGGAGCAAGCTACAGCAAACGCAGGACAATTGAGCGGTTGATACGTAATAACTCACAACCTTATCAATTTAAATATACCCGATCAATCTGTGTGTGATTCTCGGTCATTGAAAAATGCATTCTTAAAAAATATATGTATACACGCTGTGGTATATATGCATAAAATGTCATAAATAATAACTGTATATACTATGTAACATATGAAGACTAGCAATGCATAAATTAGTATATTATAATTGGACAAGAGTGTTCGTGATATAGCGCACGTATGCATGTGAACCAAACATCGTTTTCACAGACTCGGTAAGCACCGTTCGAAAATACGTACAATCGTAGCCAAACTAAATTCCAGAAAATAATGAAAGCGTGATGAATTCACATCACGAGCAATGGTTTGCACAACCGTGATTAAATTCAGTGCGCGCCTTGTAGACTGTTGCACGCACTGCAAATATGACATCGAATGCAATCCACGCATCGTTCAAAAACACAACGTGCGTAACGCTATGCAACGCAAGCGCTTGTAAGTAAAGCACAGTGTCAATCCACTGCTGGACGAAAGCCATCCGCGCGCACACGCCTCATGGGCCGTAGCGGCTCTTTGACCATACTTCACCAAAGCTGGGCAGCGGAGGATTTACGCGAAGAACGGGAGTGCCGATGAGCGGTTTCAAGGTATCCCTCGCCGCCGATGTCAAAGCGTGGGAGTCGAAACTCGGGGCCGTCCTCGCGGGGGGCTTGGTGACAATGCGCTGCCGCCCACGCAGTCTTTGCGTAAAAGTAAAACAACGATAACGAACGTGATTGTATGCGTAAGGGCTCAAAAAAGGAAGACCTATATTTCACACCGCTAAGAAACGTGTAAAATCATGTCTCTGGCGCGAAACGCAGCAATATGGTTGAACCCGCTTATGCAATTAAAACCACCAGCCGTCCGTAACTCCCCCTCCTAAATCTATCTAGTGCGCGTTACAACACAATGAATAACATTGGTTGATAATCAAAGTCATATGTTCCATCCACAGGCTCCACCACGGCAATTGTGAAGCTCCACGCGTGGACGATTATATAGTCCAGAAGTCACGCGTAGTGTGCCATTGTTTATCCTCTACTGAAAGGCAATAAAGTCTGTTGCTCATAAAAAAAAATATGAAATCGTTGAAAAATGAACACGTTTTAAAAAAATAATGTCGTAAAAAAATGTGTGAATGCACTGCTGGATGAAGGCCTCCCTCCACACGCGATGTCAGCCGTGAGGTTTCTTTGACCAGACAAGGACCCGGTCCACATATCCCTCGCCCAATGATACAAGCCGGTGGTCCGGGAATCAAACTCAGGTAGCCGGGTCCGATAGCGAACGCAGTGCGCTAACCACCGCACCACTGCTCCCCAATAAACGCGTTACGAAACAGAGACGTTACTCTGCTATGTGCGCAAGGTTGGCGTCGTTACGGCGCGCGCGCTGTCTCCGGTAACTACTCCGTTGTTGTTATTGTTGTTGTCGGTGTCGGTGGTGAAAATGGTGGCGTTGGGTACACTTCACCAAAATTCCGAAGACGAATAATAAACATTCGGACCACAGTGGACATTTCTTCATCGATGTCGGGCAAGGTGAGAAGCTCGCTAGGTGCGTCCGTGTGTTTGCGTTTGAATGGGATATACACGACCATGCGTCAAATACAACTCCCTCTAAAAGCCAGTCGCGAACGTGATGACGTTCATGACGACGACGACGACGACGAGGAAGAATAAAAAGACGACGAAGACAATGATGATGATGATGATAATGGTAACGATGGCTTGGAGTTTAGCACCATAGCGAGCGCACTGTGGCTGCTGGAATACCCAACAAATGGGAACCCAAAGGGGCATTTGCGTCTTCCTTCAGCGCTGAGAATGAAATTTAAATTAATAAAAAAAACCCTTTATAGCCGCGCGCGTGTTTGTGTTAAAACATTAAAGGTGGCCGGGAGTGGTGCTGGCCACCCATTCCCTTGTGTGTCGTCCCGGTCTTAATAGGTGCTCGCTAACATAATTGGAAATAACAAATCTGTTGTAAGAATGTATTTATGTATGTGCATCAGCCCCAACCAAAATAAAATCGCTACCTTCGTTACTAACATAGCCATCGTACCATACTCATGTGAGACAACGTTTCGGGCAATGGCCCTTATAATCCGAAGCTGTCCTTATTCAGTGTCGACGATGATGATGACGGTGGTGAAGTTTTTTTTTTACTTTTTTCATCGACGCCAGCGAATCGGTCCTTTTAATGTCTACCCTTGTGTATGTAGGTCACTGATGCACACACACACACACATATCACATCAAACCCACGATTTAAAACAAATAATAACAATGACCGTCTTATTATTGGGATTTAACTGTAAGTATAACCAACTAGTAGCCCGTAGCGAGATTCGCCTGCGTGCTTTCTATCGGTTTTAGCGTCACACTCCACGAACGGCAATGTACTCGGTTCACCAATAATGTAGATCGTCAATGATGCGCGGAGTCTTACGCGGTAGACTTAGAGCTGAAGCGGCGTGAAACTTTGAAATCAATCAGCCCACAGCACCCTTATTTTTAGAATCCCAAATTCTAAAGAACGATTCTCGGTACGGTTATTGACTCGGCAATAGTTGTGCCTAAGGTAGGCTTTCTAGCCCTTCTCGAACGTAATCGGAATTCATATCAAGTCACTCACTCGGTCACGATCGTCTACATTAAATGATATCGTCTTAATTGAAAATAATGATCACGATGTACAGCTGGTCATAATTCCACTGCTGAATGAAAGCCGCCCCATTCCGTATAAGTGATGGGGGAGTTGTTTGGCCATACTTCACCACGCTGGTCAATGCGGGTGTGTGAAAGTGGGGCGACCTAACTGGATCGGCTCGGATATCACTCGCCACCGATGTTAGCCTTGGCCGATAATCGAACTCAGGTCTCCTGGTGGCGTTCATCACTGTGCCACCGCTCCGTCCCCTTAACTAAAATGATCGTTTCAATAATGGGAATGTAATAATGATTCTAGGTACAATCGCATATTTAAAATTAATTCCTGATCAATGTACTACACATTATATACACAATATGCGCTGCTGTGCTTGTGATAAAAAATAAATG